GACCTTCAACATGCTCTTGCTGAGCAGTGGCGACGTCTTCCTCGGGTAGTGCTTACTAATGTTCTGAGATCCACGAGAAGACGTTGTGTGGCAGTACGAGACGCTAGAGGAGGCCACAACCGTTACTAAACACTTTATTCCGATTGTTCTCCAAGTTTGTGAATTTCATTTTGGGGGGTACTGTGACATCCCGAACGTTATCAATGTCAAGGACTTTCGGCGAGACGTATTCTTGCTTTCTGTTGATGTCAAGGTCGTCTGTGCACAACATAACACTAAAATAGTTGCCTTAAACCAAATATTAAAAATCTAGTCCCCAAAATCCTGAGTGTCAAGTTTTTAATTTGGCTGAGTACATATATATTTGTTTGGTTTGAAAGGGCGTGTTTGGGTGAATGTTACGGTGTAAATAAGATACCATCGCCTGAGTGTATGGTGTGTGAATGGATAATTTCAAATTGTTTCTTATGTAGCCCGGGAGAGACTAACCTCCCGAAAGAGAACGGGGAGGAGTGTTGTGGTTAGTGGTCTGAGCCTGACAGTAGACAGGACTACTTCGTTGGGCATTCCTACGCCAGATTGTATATAAGCCGGAGGTGCACATGGAAGGACGCCAGAATTTATAGAAGTTACAAAGAGTTAAAAGGTATCGTTGTAGTAGCGGACATATTCCGAAGTGGGACTTCGGGCATAAACACATTATTACGCTTAGTCTTTGGTTTTCTTCTGGTTAGTTTGTTTTGCAAGATAGTTTGAACTGATAATTTAATGTCATGATAAATCTTATTACTGTCATTAAGAGAGACTGTATCTTTGAGTTGTAGAAGTTGACATCTACTATACTTGATCACATTTAATGAACTCTGCTCAAGTGAGCTCATTATACAAGTGTACAAAACTACTATTACACTGATAATTATAGAAACTAGGACTGTCATGCTTCATTGATTACTATTATTTCCCAGCAGAAATGTCATTTAAAAGTTTATAAAAAAAAATCAAAATCACTTTTCTCAATAATACTTATCTCTGTATATAGATCTTTCTTTATGCAAAGATACAACTTCATTTAAAGCTAATTACTCATAAAATATACAAAAAAGTACAGAGCTCTTGAGGAGCAGCCAGTCATGCTCACTCTTAACTATGATATAACATTTATAAAATATAATGGTGATGAAACTTACAGGTTATCATTAATTGCGAGATTTTTTGTTTATAATTGTGCTTTCAAAACAGATTAGAGCATCAGATATCAATAGAGATTAGAACATATTGGATAATCAAATGGAGGTTTGGCGGGATATAGGTAATAACGATATTTTGTGCGACCGATTTTAAGACACACGCATTTATAGTTCAGTGGTACCACAATAATGTTAACAAATGAAACCCACAAAGAGACAAGAAATATAAATTACTGCAGCCAGACAATGGTACGCAGTATAAAACACGTAGTATTCATCAACAAATGAAATACGCATAGATTAAAGAAGGCACAGATGTAACTACAGCAAATATTAAATTATGTATAAAGACCTACCCTTAACAAAGACCGATCTGTGTAAAACACACGGTCGTACAAGAAATTGCACGGTAAATTGGATTTAACACCTACGCGTCAGATAAAGCCTGTTGGTCCTTGATAAAACACCTTTGGTGCAGTTATTACACACTTAACAAAGACCGATCTGTGTAAAACACACGGTCGTACAAGAAATCGCACGGTAAATTGGATTTAACACCTACGCGTCAGATAAAGCCTGTTGGTCCTTGATAAAACACCTTTGGTGCAGTTATTACACACTTTCGAGAAAACTCACCAAACAAAGAATACACACTGTGTCAGTTGTTTTTAACCTGTTCGTTAATTAACACATCCAGTACAGAAAACGCACCGTCGCAGAGATTTTCACCCCTAACGATAATTAAATCACCTTTCAGTCAATTTCTCACCCTTGTTAATTAACACACCGTATCTACAGATTTTAGCCTCTTCGTATTAGATTTGTTGCGATAATTAGAATTTTACAAATTTACCAAAATCGGTAGATATATATGCCCTAAACGTACCAATAACACTATTACTACTTCTCAGTGTTAACCGAACTGATTAAAGAGACAATATACACATTTCATTCCAAGTTCTAGTGATTCAATTCAGTATTCAAGTGGTTTAAATTTACACGTTTCAGTGTCTTTTAATTACCCGTAGGGTAATCAACCCCGGGAGGGTAACCAACTTTAATTTTAATTCTATACATTTCCTAGTCAATTTCCGTAATATTACATGTACATGTCAATTTTGTACCAATCCGTATTTTTTATAGTCAATAAAGGTAAAGAAATCTCTGTGAAATCTCATGACCTTAAACATTGTGTATAAATTTAAAGTCAATTGGATATTAACTTTAGCCTCTAGAGTGTCCACGGACGGGGGTGACGACAAAATATGACCACATTTCAATATGTGCGTATAAAAATTCTGACCTTTAGGGGGTCCACAAGCTAAAGATAGGTTGCCAGGTAATGAAACATACGCCCACAGCAGCTAAATCGTCCAAGCGGTCAACAAGGGTTGTCGCATATTTAATCTTTTTTAAGTAGTGGGGCGCATTTATAAGACAATTTCATACAGATCAGATGATAATTTTCGTCCTTTGAGGGTTAACAAGGTGCGACAAATTGAAGCAAGGGCCTTAACTCTGGAAGTAATATACAATAATTGTTGTAATGTAAATAATGCATATAAATTTCATACATATCGGATGATAGGCGTTCACATTGTTCAATTGCGTGACGATTTTTTCCGCGTACTGTGTTCCCACGTAGTATCTGTCTTTATTAATAGAATCTACTGATCCTGGAAGAAACGTGTAAAGTGACCAATGACTCTTATACTTTTGTGAATATTTTTAGTTTCGATGTTGTGTTTCTTGTATATAACTTTTACGACACTATATTTACCCCGACGTTACTCCGTGGACTACTGAATATTTCCATCTGCTTTTGAATGCTTCAATTATTGTATTATGCTTTAATCTTTTATTGTTTTAAAATCGTTTCATATATCATTTTATATATTCCACTATTTTAAAATTGTGGTTAAGGGAGGAATGTAATACAATATCATTTGGGATCTAAATTTTAATATTGTATTCTGAATTCATATTTTATTTGTAACTCATTTTGGACATATATTAAGTGACAGATTAATTGTAAGATTTAATCTATATCAGGTGTGGGGTGTTGATATAGTATTATGTAAGATGTAATGGATTGGACAAACATGTATACTCAGAGTGTCTATATGCTATAAGATTTAGGCTTAACACGTATTGACACCTTTTGTCTTGAGCTAAGATGTGTGAATCTTAATAATTACTTTTCATTGTTCTGATTACTAATGCTATTAACTATGGCGTGCCTAGCTGATGCGACAGATATTGCTCCACGATATAAAAAGCCTAGTTGAGAATTAGGAAGACAGGCAGACCTGGAGAGAGACCTGTAGAGACCAAGAGGGAATTCGGCCCGGACCTCGGGAGAGGGCCTGCCCTCGACCCCGGAGAGGCCTAAGGGAAGCAGCTATAGATAGACGTTACTTTACCCAACCAAATGATGTTCATATGTACCTGTAAATATGTTATCCAGTATTAAAATATCTTTTTAATAAATAAGAGTTATGTATTCTATCACATAATTTCATTTAAAATTTAGCCAATCAGAACGCAGTTTTATTAAACACATGTTAAAACAATTACCTCCCTTTGTGAAAGTAAAGGTAGCATTATTATGGCCATTTTCCGTGTGTGAGTCTCGCATAAAAAAACAGGTTAGTTGACAAAACGTCTGCTACACATTTGCAGCTGAGGTCTATTAACCCTTTCACTGCGTATACCCGGTAGTACCGGGTATTATAAAATGTCGGTAAAATGCCCGTACCCGGTATTACCGTGTACTCAGTAAAGCCCTCGCTAAAATTAGTACCGTAACTGCAAGTGCCATCTATTGTATTTTCTATACACTAGAACATATTTCCACGTGTTTCAAAGCAGCAAACCGTAAAATGACGGAGTGCATTGTGACAATGTAGACGATGCACTCTCGACGAAGTCGTGAATGACGTCTTGCTGACCAACATGTGGACAATTTCGAGGCGGGTGATACACATAATTCGTTTCCAGTTACTTGATAATGATAGTAGTCAGGACAGTGATTGGTATTATGAAGTGTGTGATTTTTTGCGCGACGTTCCGCCCATGGCTAGCTATGTCTCCCGTGCATGATGAACAAGCCCAATGTGAACACGATAGCCCTGTGTCTGCAGTAGATTCTGACAATAATTCTGATGTTGATAATAATGCTGGCCTGCTGGATCGTAAAATACGTAGGTAATTCCTGATTCCCGAACGTGTAGATCTATTGACTGACTATATTGATAATGATATGGGACTTGGGGATGAAAGTGAAAGTGAAAGTAAAAACAAGGTATTGCAATCCGCACGTGGTCATGGCAGCGGGAGACGTGATGCGCGTGTTCGCGGCGGCATTGCTCATGGCTGCTATTGATATTTTTGTTCATTTTATATATCTTTATCAAAATCCAGTAAAAAAAACAATATCTTTTAAGTATTTCATGGAGAAAAATTCGTTTTCGTGTTAGCTTTAGTGTGAAATGAGAAATCCAAAATGGCCGCCATGACGTCACGTGACTACATTATTATGCAAATTTCCAAAATTCTATTTTTTCCTCTTAGCCCAACCTCATGCCCATCCCAACAGACAAAAAGATTTTTCATAAAAGCTTCCATAAGTACTGCTTGGCATTCAGTTCCAACCTCCCTTTTTTCCTCATTAAAGGCTCTAGCACAGGCAGTGGATTTACGTCTATCATTGAAAGGGTTAAAAGGAATGGGAGATTATAGACATTATTTCCAGAAGCTAACAGTTACTTCTAGTGACCCAATTCTGGCCTCTGTTAACACCATAAAGGATACTTTTATCTTTTAGTACAACTTCTGTAGAACCAATGTTTAATGCTGTTGCAACAGATCTGGATGTTTCTAGTGTACAGATGTCTCTATCCTTAACTTCTATATAATATTGCAATGATGGCATAGTTATCTCTGAAAGCAAATAAGACAATATTCAATAAACTTTCAGTAGTATAAAAAGTAATTAATCTGATTGCCAAAAGCCAAACAAGCGATTGCCATGCAAGATACGCCCAGATTTTGCAAGAGATGGACAGAGAACAAGCTAAAAAAATAATGTGATTTTTTGTACAATCAGGGGCCATAATCCAGGAAGATAAGGTCCGATATGTGCGAATATTGAGAGGAACCGAGATCAATGGGTTATGAACATACATTTCAAGTTTCATCAAAATTTGAAAAAAATTGTGACCTCTAGAGGGTCCACAACCTTCGTATTACATACTTTTACACAATTTGCTTACAAAGAGCGGCCATTTTGTTGAGCAGTTTCATTTCAATTTTCACGAAACTCAAATTCAACCTTCATTATGGTGTAACGGTGATATATTTAAATGGTTTTTAAAATTGGAAAAATAAATTGTGACCTCTAGAGAATCCACAAGCTAAAAATGGGATTTTTCGAACAATCAGGGGTCATAATCCAGGAAGTTACGTTCGGATATGCGCGATTATCAAAAGGAACCAAGATCTTCGTGTGTAACGGTGATATATTCCAGGCCATGAAATTTCAAATTTTGGTTACGGGTTAATGCTATGCGTAACCATTTTCTTCGGTTACGCCAGATGACCATTGCATAACCAATTGGATACATAAAATGGCTGCGCTATTTCCAAGTTTTATCCAGATTTAAATGGTGCTATTTTTCATTTCCACTTGCAGTGAATGTATTTTTTAAAGAAATAACTTGACTAATTTATATTAATTTATATTCTTTTATATTTGATATTATATTTTGAGGTTAAGTGTTTGTACAGCATGGCTATAGTGAAAACTGAAATGGACATCTGTAGTAAATTCTTTGGAAATATAGCTGACATGTTAAATAGTCAAATTCATTTCTCATTTTGTGTTTGAAAATCCAAAGGTACGCCTTCAAATATTTATGGCATAACTAATCATTTAAAGAATTAGGGTGGGGGCATTTTTAAATCTACCTGCTTGCAACTGGTCAATAGACGATGGTGTCAAAATATGTGATCTGTCAAAGTACCAGTAAGATGGAGAAATGAAATGCCAAGAATGAATGGAGTTTGTGCTATAATACAAATAATTTAGACCTGTGTCACAAAGTAGTCATCCTGTATAAAAATTGTTCAAATGTGAATAAATTTGTTAATGAAATTGTTAACGTAACCGATATTTCAATTTGTGTAACCAGGAAATCAGTCGCATGTTTTTGAGCTGGCGTGACCGCACGGAACCGATTGGTATCGTTTGTGTGAAATTTTGTGGCCTGTATTCACGATTTTTTTTATATCAGATCAAAATTGTGACCTCTACAGGGACCAGAAGCTAAAGTTATGATCCGATATGCACAAATATCGAAAGCAACCAAGATCTTTGGGTTATAAACATGCATTTCAAATTTCATCAAAATCGGATCAAAATTGTGACCTCTAGAGGGTCCACAACCTTGATATACCAGATGTTTACACTATTTGAGTAGAAGGGCGGCCATTTTGTCTGGCAGTTTTCGTCCTATTTTCACAAAATTCGAACTCAACCAACATTACAGTGCAACGGTGATATATTCGAACAGTTTTTCAAATCAGATAATAATTGTGACCTCTAGAGGGACCACAAGCTAAAAATGTGATTTTTCGTACAATCAGGGGACATAATTCAGGAAGTTACTATCCAATATTTGAGGATTTCGAAAGCAACCAAGATCTTTGGGTTATAAACATGCATTTCATATTTCATCAAAATCGGATCAAAATTGAGAACTCTAGAGAGTCCACAACCTTAATATAACAAATGTCTACACTATTTCCTTTCTGAGGTTGGGGTCCATTTTAGTCCGCTTTCCATAAAACTGGAACTCAACCAACAATATGGTGTAATGGTGATATATTCAAACGTTTTTTTTTTTAAATTTGATAATAATTGTGACCTCTAGTGGGACCACAAGCTTAAAAAAATGTGATTTTTCGAAAAATCAGGGGCCATAATTTAGGAAGTTACGATCTGATATGCGCGAATATTGAAAGGAAACAAGATCTTTGGGTTATAAATATGCATTTCAAGTTTTAAAAATCAGATGAAAATTGTGTCCTCTAGAGTGTCCACAAGTTAAAAACGTCACTTTTCCTATAATCAGGGTTTAACACTTTTGTAGAATTTTTGCTCTCGAAATTAATGATGGCATTATATTGTATTGATTAATATCTTTGGCAAGTTATTAGATTCACTTATATGTACTTAAATCAAGTTAGCGAATGAGTGGCATATTGTTACACCAGCGGCTTTGGGTTATAAACATACATTTCAAGTTTCAACAAAATCGGATAAAAATTGTGACCTCTATAGGGCATGTTTTATTATAAAGTGTACCAGTGGGTATCTAACAAATGTAATGGTTTTATTAGAAAAGAGAAAAAGAGTTTTTAAATATTTTTCTAATCTTCAAAATCAGCTTACATTGAACATATAAAATACTTAATACCAGGTTTATTGATGTATTTTTTTATTAAAATAAGTTACAAATATTTTAACGAATTACATCATTTAAGACAGACATTTTTCCCATCATTTTTTATCAAGATTTTAGAATACATAGAGGATATTTGTCGTTTTAGAGTGAATAACATATTTTATTTCATCGAGAAGCAAGAAAACTTATATTTTCACGGCATTATTTACTAAAAATGTATAACTTTCTTTACGGCCTTTAGAAAAGAAAACCGGCTTTCCGATTCCCAATGCATAAACATGGCGGTCGGCATTCTCGCCTTATTCACTCGATCAAAATGACTTTGACCTCCGCAAAAAAGTGCTAACGTGTCAATTGTCAGACCGATTATATAAACCGTCTGTCCATACATAACGTTGGCACGTACTTTTAAAATACTTTTTGTCCGATTTTAAATTTAAAACTCGCCCAAGGGTAGAAATACTATACAATTTATTAATACCTTTCATTGCGGACTATTTTTATTTTTAGATAAAAACAATAATTCAAGTAATAAAGTTATTTATAAAATGTCCACGTCTGTCCTTATGTAACGTTAGCAACAGTTGCATGCCCGATAAATGTTTAAATTTTAGGTTATTAAAATATATGATTATATTTTATTATATTAATCTTAAATTCTTAATATAATGCTTTATTTTAATTTAGCATGTAAAAAATCTCATTAACTACTTACATCAACACTATAAATATAAATTTTCTTCAAACTTTAGTGCTAATGTTACAAATCTGCCAGAATGTCTGTCCACATTTAACATTAGCAATGCAATTAATTTTTAAATTAAAAATTAATTTGTAAATCATATCCCATGAAACTTCAGATTTAGATAATGCATTATTACATTAAACTTTTGAAGAAAATTATTAATATATATAAGCAACAGTTAATATCTGAAAGGAAAATAAATGTGCCATGCTTCTGTCCAATTCAAAAGAGACATTTTATATTTACTAAGATAGGTTGCCAGGCAACTAAACATACGCCCACAGCAGCTAAATCGTCCGAGCGGTCGACAAGAGTTGTCGTATATTTGTTCTTTTGTAGGTAATGAGGGTTCACAAGGTTCTAAAAACTAAAACAAGGGCTGTAACTCTGGAAGTAATCTACAGAAGTTTTTGAAATTCAACAGACTTTTTCTAATTCAAACAATACATATCAATTTCATACAGATCAGATGATAACTTTTGTCGTTCGAACGTTCACAAGGTTCAACAAAGTAAAACAAGGGCCATAACTCTAGAAGTAATTGACAGAAATTGCTCACATATGATGCATATGAATTTCATACAGATTGGGTTATAACTTTTGTCGTTCAAGCGTTCACCAGATTCAACAATGTGAAACAAGGGCCATAACTCTAGATGTAATTAACGGAAATTTGCTGAAACTCAATAGGCTTGTTCGTTTTACTAATTTAAACGATACCTATAAATTTCATACAGATCGGATAATAACTTTTGTCGTTAAAGCATTCACGAGGTACAACAAAGTGAAAAAAGGGCCATTACTCAGGGTGTAATTAACAGAAATTGTTGAAATTCAATAGGCATCTTCGTTGCACTAATTTAAATGATGCATATCAATTTCAAACAGATCGGATGATAACTGTTGTCATAAGAGCATTCAAAAGATTCAACAAAGTGAAACAAGGGCCATAACTCTAGATGTAATTAACGGAAATTGCTGAAATTCAAAAGGCTTCTTTTTTTTACTAATTTAAATGATGCATATAAATTTCATACAGATCGGTTGATAACTTTTGTCGTTAGAGCGTTCACAAGGTGCAACAAAGTGAAACAAGGGCCATAACTCCAGACGAAATTAACGGAAGTTATTGAAATAGGCTTCTTCATCTCACTAATGCAAACAACATATATCAATTTCAAAACAATCAGATGATAAATGTAGTCTGTAGAGTGTTCACAAGAAATTGTGGACGACGGATGGACGGACGGACGGACGGACGGACGGGGGCGACGGACGGACGGACGGGGGCGACGGCAATATACGACCACATTTCCATGTGGGCGTATAAAAATGTTCATCTTTACTGTCTTATGACCCAAAAATAATAGCATCTTCATTCATTTCACATAATTCAATGTATATTCTACCTATAGAGATTGCTATTTATATGAATTTTAATGTGCATTGTTTGCATTTGATATAATTTCATCTAGATTAAAAAAATTTCAATATGTTAGGTATAATGTTCAATAAAAAAATTATTTTGCGAAAAATTATCTTTTTTAAAATATATTTTGGAAGAATATGTATCCATCTTCTCTGAGACAGGAATTTTGTAATAGGAATTGGAATTTCATAATTCAGATGGGATTCGGAACCTATGGTACACTTTAAAAAAAAACATGCCATAGGGTCCACAACCTTGATATACCATATTTTTATGCTATTTGAGAACGAGGGGCGTCCATTTTGTCTGTCAGTTTTGGGCCGATTTTCACGAAATTCGAACTCAGCCGTCCTTAGGATGTAACGGTGATATGATAATACGTTTTTTTAAATCGGATAAACATTATGACCTCTATAGGGTCCACAAGCTAAAAACGTGATTTTTCGTACAATCAGGGGCCATAATTCAGGAAGTTACGGTCCGATATGCACAAATATCGAAAGGAACCAAGATCTTTGCGTTATAAACTTACATTTCAAGTTTCATCAAAATCTGATAAAAATTGTGACCTCTATAGTGTCCACAACCTTGATATACCATATTTTTACGCTACTTTAGTACGATGGGCGGCCATTTTGTCTGTCAGTTTGGGGCCGATTTTCACGAAATTCATACTCAGTCGTCCTAAGGCTGTAACGATGATATAATAATACGGTTTTTTAAATCGAATAAACATTATGACCTCTAGAGGTCCACAAGCTAAAAACGCGATTTTTTGTACAATCAGGGGCCATAATTCAGGAAGTTACGATCCAATATGCGCGAATATCGAAAGGAACCGAGATCTTTGGGTTATAAACTTACATTTCAAGTTTCATCAAAATAGGATAAAAATTGTGACCTCTATAGAGTCCACAACCTTGATATACCATATTTTTACGCTATTTGAGAACGAAGGGTGCCATTTTGTCTGTCAGTTTTGGGCCGATTGTCACGAAATTAGAACTCAGTCGTCCATAGGGTGTAACGGTGATACAAAAATACTTTTTTTTAAATTGGATAAAAATTGTGACCTCTGGAGGGACCACAAGCCAAAAACGTGACTTTTCGTACAATCAGGGGCCATAATTCAGGAAGTTACAACCCGATATGTGCGAATATCGATAGGAACCAAGATCTTTGGGTTATCGCATTTCAGGTTTCATCAAAATCGGATCAAAATTGTGACCTCTAGAGTGTCCACAAGCTAAAAACGCGATTTTTGGTACGATCAGGGGCCATAATCCATGAAGTTATGGTCCGATAAATGCCAATATCGAAAGGAAACAAGATCTTAGGGAGATAAAGCTATATTTCAAGTTTCGTTGAAATTGGATAAAAATTGTGAACTGTAGAGTGTCCACAAACAAATTGTGGACGGACGGACGGACAAACAGGGGCGACGACAATATACGTCCACATGAAAATGTGGGCGTATAAAAAGGGTCAGATCTGGCCCATAAAGAAAATCTAACCTGACACTTTGTTATGTTTCAGTAATTCTACTTTATATTGAACTTCACTAAACAGCAAAACATATACATCAGCTGGATTTAACATCAAATTAGCTATAACCATTATACGTATATCTAATGGCAGCAAATGCTAAAATTAAAAAATAGATATATAATTTGGCAGGCAATGAAATTATAAATGCTCACAAAGCAGGGATCTTAACGCATTGTACCCGATAGCAAATCAGTTCGCACCCACTCATTAATCAGTCATTGCTATTTGAGGCGCACGACAGCTTGCGAGCGCCTGCCGCGGACCTGAATGTCGATTATGGAGAGGTTTTTCTCCCTCGCCTTAAAGTTGAAAATCACACTCCTTATTTATAAATCATGGACATAAAGAGTGTGATTCATATTCCGATCTCCGCCATGCTGTCATTGTGAACATTTATTTCATGTATTCGATTAGTGTATAATGCCGCGCACCTGATGTCGACCAAGGGGAGGTTTTTCTCCCTCTACTTAAAATTGAAAATCGCTCTCCTGTTTTGTAAATCATGGACATATTTATTTTCTTTAAAAACCAGCAGCTGCCAGGCAGGATACGCCCACATTTTTGAGAGATGGATAGAGAACAATCTAAAAAGAAAGTGATTTTTCCTACAATCAAGGGCCATAATTCAGGAAATTACAATTCGATATGCGCAAATATTGAAAGATCTTTGTGTTGTAAACTTACATTTCAAGTTTCAACAAAATCGGATAAAAATTGTGACCTCCATAGGATCCACAACCTTGATATACCATATTTTTACGCTATTTGAGAATGAAGGGCGTTCATTTTGTCTGTCAGTTTTGGGCCGATTTTCATGAAATTCGAACTCAGCCATCCTTCGGGTGTAACAGTGATATAATAATACGTTTTTTTTAAATCGGATAAAAATTATGACCTCTATAGGGTACACAAGCAAAAAATGCGATTTTTTGTACAATCAGGGGCCATAATTCAGGAAGTTACGGTCCGATATGCACAAATATCGAAAGGAACCAAGATCTTTGGGTTATAAACTTACATTTACGGACAGGGGCGACAACAATATACATCCACATTAAAATGTGGGCGTATAAAAAGTGTTAAAGATTCACATTCCAATCGCCACCATGCTGTCATTGTGAACATTTATTTGGTGTAATCGATTAGTTTGTAATGTGATCGCACACGGTAATAAAATTACGATGAATATGTTGCTAAAAATAGATGCCGCTATGCATCATTGGTTAATTTAATTGAAATGTGAAGTAGAATTCTCGCGAGACGTGAAAAATTACGAGAGATGGCACATGAAAATTTCCAATAAGAATATTTCCGGAAGAAATAGATTATATTTTGATGGAATTTTCAAGGGGTTATATTTAGAACTGTCGACAAGTATTTCTATTGGAATACAGCAAGTAGTTTTAGATGAGTGCTATTATTTTGCAGACTATGTTTATTATCATTTATGTAACCAGGAATGACCCCTTACACACAGTTATTGATCTTCAGAACCATTTCCCATACATACAACCAATCACTCTCCTAAATATCAGATCACACTCCTAAATTTGTAAATCACTCTTCTTATCAAAACTGGAAGAGCTTTTTAAGGGGAGTTATTTTTCCAATTTGTTCATTAAGGGGAGCCTTTTTCGGCTCTCTTCTAAAATACAAACAACAATAGTGAATAAAAGCACCGACTTATCATTCTTGGCACCAGCATTAGCGAACAAAAGCACAAGATCACCAAATGTCCAAAGATAGGTTGCCAGGCAATGATTCATGTGAGAAGCTTCCAATCGATAGAAACAGGTAACACAAACCAATTACAGACGGTTTGATGGGATCAATTTTGACTAAGTCAAAATGATGTATTTGATATTCAGATAAGTTGATATACAATAATCAATAGAATACAATATCAATATCAAAAAACCCTGATTGTACGAAAAATCGCATTTTTAGCTTGTGGACCCTATAGAGGTCATAATTTTTATCCTATTTAAAAGATAGGTTGCCGGGCAATGAAACATACGCCCACAGTAGCTATATCGTCCGGGCAGTCAACAAGAGTTGTCACATCTTTTTACTTTTTTCGGTAATGAAACATTTATAATACATTAAAATCTGATTAAGAGTAACAACTCATTAAGTAATTATCAGAAAACCATTAGAATTTGTTTGGTTTTTCTCAAGTTCTGCCCCATGCTAACGTTTAGTATACAAAACTTTTAACATCATGGATTTAGCTGTTCAAGCCATAAAGATTCTTGAAAATCAATATAATTGTTTGTCTCTTGATCTTAAACACTGTGTATAAATTTAAAGTCAATTGGATATTAACTTTAGCCTCTAAAGCGTCCACAAGATTTTTCTAAGTGATCAAGGGCCATAACTCTGGCAAAAATTATCGGATATCGCTGTAAATCACTAGGCTTCTTCGTCTCATGGTCTTCAACACTATATATAAATTTAAAGTCAATCCGATATTAACTTTAGCCTCTAGAGCGTCCACAAGAATTTTCAAAGCGATCAAGCCATAACACTGGCAAAAATTATCAGAAATCGATGAAAATCAATAGGCTTCTTCGTCTCACGACCTTAAACACTGTGTATCTTAAAGTCAATCGGATATTGACTTTGACCTCTAGAGCGTCCACAAGATTTTTTGAAGTGATCAAGGGCCATAACTCCGACAGTAATTATCGAAAATCACTGAAAATTAATAGGCTTCCTTGTCTCATGACCCTAAACACTGTGTATAAATTTAAAGTCAATCGGATATTAACTTTAGCCTATAGAGCGTCCACAAGCTGATTTGTGCACTGGCGCTTTATCCTGGTGGAAAATCACACCTTTGGTCCGCTTTCCTCGTCTTTTGGTCCTAATTTCTTGCCTCGACTGCCTTATCAGTGCTGCATATAGTATCTACCATTAATTGTTTGACCCTTTTGGAGGTAATCCACCATGGGATTGAAAACACCCTCAGAATCCCAAAATACTGAGGCCATCACATTTCCTTTTCCTGCCGATGAAACAGTCTTTGCCTTCTTTGGGGTCGGCAACGTCACATGTTTCCACTGTTTTGACTGCTCTTTTGTTTCTGGCTTAAAGTGGTGGACCCAAGTTTCATCCATAGTAACAAATTGTTTCGGGAAGCGGTCAGGATCATTTTCAAATAAGGCTAGATTCTCTTCTGACATGATGTGTTTTAAACGCTTTTGATCAGGCGTCAAAAGCTTTGGCACCCATCGTGCTGAAACCTTTGTCATTTCCAAAGTTTCAGTGATAATAGAATGAACTCTCTCCTGGCTAATACCAACTACCCCAGCTATGAATCGTTCAGTAACTCGCCTGTCATTCATTATCAGATCATGGATTTTTTGTACCATTTCAGGTGCTGACACAGTTTTTGGTCGACCAGGGTGTGGTTCGTCTTCAACGCTGTCTCAGCCACGCTTGAATTCAGCTGACTACCTTTTACCTTTTAATTGTGGCATATGAAGGAGCATTGTCTCCTAATGTCTCAACCATAACATCATAACCATACTTAATCACAGCTCTCGCCTCGATATGGTCCATTTTCTGATAACAACAGACCCTACTTGATTGTTATGACCTGTCACAACCAAACAGTTTAACCGAATGTGATGAAAGTTTGTGACAGAGCCCGAGGAACATAATAGTGCACGTGCAAAACATGGTATCATTGTGTTGCACAGTTTTCCAATCGAGGCTCACTACTTATCAATCACCCCTCGTACTAACTTCTTCAGGGATGAAGAAGTATACAAAATGAGTGTATATATAGTTTTCATACTGTTCAGATGATAATTTTGTCATATGAATCATACACAGAAGTACTGCATCTGTAGTGTTATCCTGTGAACCTACCCATTGAAATCACCAGAAATAGACAAAACTTTACCTGCATATAAATTTCATACAGATCGAATGATAACTTGTGCCATTTGAGAATTCACAAGGTTCAACAAGGGTCATAACTCTAGATGTAATTAATGGAAATTGCTGAAATTCATTAGGCTTCTTTGTTTCACTAATTTAAATGATGCATATAAATTTCATACAGATCTGGTGATAACTTTTGTCATTAGAGCGTTCACAAGGTACAACAAAGTGAAACAAGGGCCATAACTCCAGAAGAAATTAACAGAATTCATTTAAATTAAATTAGACTCTTCATCTGACTAATGTAAACACCATATATCAATTTCAAAACAATCAGATGATAAATGTAGTCTGTAGAGTATTCACAAGGAATTGTGGACGACGGACGGACAAGCGCACGGACAGGTGCGATGACAATATATGACCACATTTCCATGTGGGCATATAAAAATATATGTAAACCATCGACTTTCTACAGGTCTTTCATAATAAGCTTAGAACTTTTCAGCCTGGCCTCGTAATTATCAGTAATTGTTGGAATTCAATAGGCTGCTACATATATTTTGAGAAGATAGGATGATAAATGTAGCTTACCTTATAAACTGGGTCCCGTAATCTGGTAGAAACTTTTGCACTGCCAGTTCTAATGCCTTCTACTAGTATACTATACCCTTGTAAACCTTTCTCTTCTAATGGGGCTATTTGATCAGGTGTTGTATAATGGGAATCTTTGTACCTCTTTATCCTGAAATTATTATTTAACACTAATACCCATTCATTCATAAAAGTGTTCAGGTGTGGCAGACTGATGAAGCCAATGGTCGCAAGATCTAGGGGGGCATATGACCAAGGTGTATATTATTTTTGACACTGTCTTAAATATCAGTCACCATTCTTGGCTTTGCTCAATTGTGTTTTTAAACACACTTCGATACTTTTGTAGTCTTTGGGCAGGGGATAGGGAGGGGCTCCATAAGTTGAACAGCCTAGGGCCTTCATAAAAGTCTGGCACTGTTCAGAACAAGTGTCACTATATATACCATACAACACTGTGCGTTTAGTGGATCATTGGATTGGATTATCATATACTCTGAGTACTGTGATAACTTATTTATTTCTTCTCTATTTTGTTTCAAATATCTTAGTCAATCTCGTCATCTGAGCAACACAAGTTAGCGGGCGGGCTAATCTTAGTTGTTCTTAAGTAAGGCTTCGAACTTTCGTTCAATTTTCATCTCCCTCACCTCTCCCCCATATTTTTAGTCTGTTTATTGTTTACTTTTCCTGTTATTTTCTATTTTACTTTGCATAAATATGGCAGGAAATTTTGCTAGCGTCTAGGTCAATTCGCCAAGAAAGCCCCAACCGGTTCTTGCATCAAGAATGGTGCAAGAATATAAATATATCGTGATATGCACGCCAAAGGAAGGGAAGTCTTTCAAGGCCACAAAAGTGTCCAAAATAGGAGACGATATCCGCACGAAATGGGGGACAGCAGCTCTACCCGACATACGGGTACTTGCAAATGGGAACGCCAGGATAGCGTTCCAACACATGGGGGACGCGCACCTGGCAACAAACATAAAGATAGGTTGCCAGGCAACGAAACATACGCCCACAGCAGCTTAATTGTCCTGACAGTCAACAAGTGCTGTCGCATATTTTTACTTCTTTCGGTAATGAAACATTTATAAAACACTCAAATCTGATTAAGAGTAACAACTCATGAAGTAATTATCAGAAAACCATTAGAATTTGTTTGGTTTTTATAAAGTTCTGCCCAAGGCTAACGTTTAGTATACAAAACTTTTAATATCATGGATTTAGCTGTTTAAGTCATAAAAATTCATTGAAAATCAATATACTTGTTCGTCTCAAGCTCTTATACTCTATGTATCGATCTGAAGTCAATCGGATGATAACTTTAGCCTCTAGAGCGTCACAAGATTTTTCAAAGTGATCAAGGGCCATAACTGTGACAGTAATTATCGAAAATCACTGAAAATGAATAGACTTCTTTGTCTCATGACCCTAAACACTGTGTATAAATTTAAAGTCAATCGGATATTAACTTTAGCCTCTAGAGCGTCCACAAGATTTTTTGAAGTGATCAAGGGCCATAACTCTGGCAGTAATTATCGGAAATCGCTGAAAATCAATAGGCTTCATTGTCTCATGACCTTAAACACTGTATATAAATTTAAAGTCAATCGGATATTAACTTTAGCCTCTAGAGCGTCCACAATTGCTTATAAAATGCGCACCTCGACTGACATCCAGGCACATCCAGGAGAGTGAGTGCGATTGCACTCTTTTTACGTGAAGGTGGTATCATGTATATTCAACTAGAGTTATGAATATTTTAACACCTTACAGAAACTAACGCTGTTTACGCACAATTAAATAATACCGGTTTCCTAGTATAATGACCCCAATGAAATGTGGGCGAATCAAAATGGTTATTCACGCAAATCATTCTGCTCAAGTAATGATATGTACTGGTCTTACCCATGCAAATCTGTAGTTGTCTACAACTCAAATGTCTGCTTGTGACAAGCTCCGCTTTTGCTTATGACAATTTAAAAGAGATTCCATTACCTAAGAATGTTATGAGCATCAACAACAGCATGTCCAATGTCAGTATCAGAAACTAGACTCCACTCAAATGCAAATCCATCAAGACTTGTAAAACAGTTACCTAAAACAAAATAAATAAAGTCAGTAGTAAGGGAATAATAGATAGCCACGCAAAGAGTGGAAATACGCCCACATAGCACATATGACTCAAAAAAAAAAAAAAGAACCATAGAAAGCAGTTTAGTTCAGCAGCCAAACCCCAGTTTTAGCATTGATGTGGAAATGGAGTCTACCTAATGTTTATTGATGGATTATACATCTGCAATATTTGCAGATTTAGAATAAGGACAATGCCACCCCGGCAGGAATCATTGGGAAATCAAAATATCCAAGATGGCATCCAGCACATGCTATAACTTGGATTCATTAATATTATGGAATTGGGCTATATATTTGTGTTCTAAATGTTTGTATTGCTCAAGAAATGGTACGGAAATAGATTAATTAGTGCTTGATCATATTACTAATGACTGAAAAAATGGACGACAAAGATGTCTAATACCCACAATACATAAAATTATGGTTATCATAGTCTTAACAGTACAATGTTGATGGCAATATACAGTTGAGTTATAACTGGCTATATGGGCCTTTTCACAGTAAAGACAGTACATGACAGAATTTTTTTTTAAATTTTTTTATCTTTTTTTTAAATTTTTTTTATCAAAGTTATATAAAACATTTATAAATTATTCTAAATCATTGAAAGATAGGTTGCCAGGCAACGAAACATACACCCACAGTAGCTAAGTCGTCTGGATTGTCGTATATATTTTCTTTTGTCAGTAATGAGAACATTTACAACACATGAAAATCTGAAAATGAGTAATAACCCAGGAAGTAATGATCAGAAACATTAGAATTTGTTTTGATTGTTTGTCTCAAGTTGCCTTAACCCTATAAACTCATCCCCTAAACTGGCATTTTACCACTGGTGTCTGTTATTGGGCAAATGGTAAAAACATAATTCTTAGAAGAACCACATGTTATATGTTTCTGATTAGGGCATTGGCAGGGCTTTCTATAAGGGATCATTTCGTTGAACGCACATGCATGAACGCACATGCATCGCCCCCCTAGTTACGGGCCTGGACAGTTTAGTACAGTGCGAAATAAAAACAGCATTTTTATTATTTTATTCAAAGCACCAATAACACTTTTGCTGTTTTGATAAGTCCGGTGAAATAAATAGCCTTATTCTAACTACTAAATGTGTTAGTGTGTTACTTTTAGTGTAAATCCTTCATTAAATTCTATTTTATTTATCCTGGGTGATCAAATCAATGTCATATTTAGAAAAGCCTAACTTTAGACTTTTGCAATCTACTGGAGCCAGTATTTGTCCAGGGAGTTAATTAGTGTTGGATTTGATTGACTACAAGTACTGTACCTGTTATAATTGTTTCAAGAAATCAGAATATTTATTTTACTGAAATTTATTAATCAGAAGCAAGATTGGAACATTAAAAGTGTGTTTGGCACTTTTATCGATGATTACATGTACACATGTCATAGGTGAGCCCCATATTGATGGTGGGTGTCCATCTGGTTCATTCACAATTGCAGACAAAACCCATTTTTCTATATAAGAATGGAATTTTACTGCTTTTAATTACAGTCAAGTGTTATTTGAATTCATGTATCTATTGTAAGCTTATGTATTGTAGATGCCAAATTCTATTTCTTCCATCTGGGCTATTTCCTGACCATTCAGAGCTAGTTCAAATTATTTAAGCATTTATTCTTACAATTTCTACAACTTTTTAACAGTTCTCATCCTTTATTTCAAAATGTTTTTTTCATTCTTAATCTTAGCTATACATTATCTATGATCATTATTAAGACATGCTGTTATGTAAAATGAATGATATTATTAGATTTACACCTATAGAAACAGTGGAATTCTTGTATTCCTTGTAATCTCCCTTGATATGAAGGCATTTTTCCAGTGAAATCGACCGGTCCTATATCCTTAGTCAGTGTCGAAAAAAAAAAAACGGACTGACGGCCACATTTTGTGTCAATGTGATCAAAATATCTTTTGGGGCTCTCTTACTCCACTTCTCTACACGGATGGAATGTTTATTTAGTTCACTGGACCTCTGTTCGTCCCGACCACGAGCAATTTGCAAGTTAAATCGTGCACATGGCTTTGTTTACAAATGCTATGACCTGGCACTTGACCCTAGAACTTATGACCATAACCCTGCATGCGCGACCGCTGCTTGGCCAAATTTTAAATAACTGCGCAGGATCCAACTCGCACCTACGCAAATATGGCTCCGCACTATAAAGAAATAAGTCATTGATTACTGGCCTATTTTGAAACAAAGAGTTATACATTTTTGCTAGAATCTTGACTCATATAACACGACTTTTATGTTGAATAGTCACCCATTCTTAGTCTCATTTCAAAGGGAATTTTCATGGCTTTCGAATGATATAAATTATATTCTTTTACTAATGAGTACTTTTTCGGATTATGATGTGATGAATTTATTGATCGCCGGCCATCGATTTTAAGAAGGGATGAGTTCATAGGGTTAACTCTGACAGTAATTATCGGAAATCGTTGAAAATGAATAGAATTCTTTGTCTCATGACCTAAAACACTGTGTATATATTTAATTTCAGCAGTATTTGTCGAAAATAGTTGAAAATCAATAGGCTTCTTTGTCTCATGACCTTAAACAGCGCGTATAAATTCAATAAATTCAATCGGCTATTAAACATACATTAGGCAAGAGCTAAATCTGCCTAGTGCAGGTCTTTTTTTAGGCCTGAAATGTTATATAAACTATTAATTAGACATTTGTGACCGGCCGCAGCTAAATGAGTCGGAATGCGCGCCAATCAATAATGAGATAAAGACAAAATAAGTGAAAATTTTGATTTTGATCGAAATTGAGATTTTCACAAAAACGAGTCTATAAATATACTATCTATCGACACAATAGCAATAAAACATTTTAAAACACCTGTATTTGAACGTTTTGTAAGAGTACCGTATTCTTAAATATGTCCTACTTCTTAAAATTCTCGGCGAAATTAGGCTGACCTTAAAAATATCTTTGTTTCGCCTTACGCGACCGACTAACTAAAACCACCCCCGACTTAAATTATTTTATTGCACTTTTCCGCGATCTTTTTATTTTATTTTGTGTGTTAACCTGAAATATATCACGAGAGTTATTTCCCTTTACTATGGCTATGGTTTGATTCATTATTGAAACTGGTTGATCAAGACGAAAGCGTCATAGGTGTCGCTTCTCAACAAAATGGTTGCAGACGAAAGCACGTCCATTCCCACGAAATGATTCTGCCTCTATGTCTGTGTGGCGTCGTTTTAAACATGACGAAGATATTTTCAATATCCGTTTTCAAGAAAAATGAAGCCACGATCGTTAAAAACGTGTTGAAGGGGTTTCACACTTAGAGTTCGTGGCAAATCGTGTGCGAGTCTTGGAGTCGTGCATCACGAAAAATCCCGATGTCATACTCATTGATTTGTTTGACAATAAAAAAAGACGAATGTTTCCCCCCAGAAAATTATCAAGCTGTCAAATTAGCTCTTTAAAAAAAAATCTGAAAAAAAACCCGACCTACCGACCCTTCTCCTCGACTGTGGGTCGGGTTTGGCGAAACAAAGATATTTTTAAGGTCAGCCTTAGTTATTTTTCTTTGCTCGCAGCGGGACGACCGGTCATTCCTCTTGTATAATAATTGGCATCATTGTAAAGCAGAGCATCTCTAGTTTACAAATATGATCAAACTATTGTCGATGAATTGATTTTGAACGGATACAATCCAGTTTTAAAACCCCCCAAAAATATAAATAAACTCCGCCTGTTGCCATGCTGTCTACACAACTCGTTTGCTGATTGGCCCAGACACCGCGTGCAAGACATTATCGATAAATATTTGGTTTTGGCGATAATGTTTTTGGGTAACTTCATGCGATTCACTCTGATAAGTGGCAGAAAAAAAAAATTAATTCTGATCGTATATAGATTGACGTTGAGTGTTAATCGAAACCATGTGGCTGATGATGTAAATTAATTGACAAGCAGGTGTGTGTCATTGAGTAATACTATTACTAATCAACTGTCATGGGTCAATGATAAAGCCGTCGACAACTCATTATTTACTCCGAATAATTAATCCAAGTGGTGATTATTTGATATCTCATATCATCTTTAAAAAAAATAATCTATAGGCCTTAAATGGAAATAAACAAAATGGCCAATAATTTTCTTTTCAAAGAGAATTTTATTGATGGCTGAATTCCGTTTACTGTCACTTCTTCATACGGCATTCAAAGTAAGGAATGCATCTGGGATATTATTGTTTAAAATTCTCTTAACACCATGGGTCGAAAAAATGAAAACGACCAACGAGCCGAAATGCGACAATTCTCGAGTCTGCCATTGAGTATCCTCTGAATAATGTTGATATTTACATCAAAACCAAATGCACGAAAGTGAACGTAAGCATTTCTTGACTATGAAATTGACATTACTATAGGGACTCATATTTTGATAATGTCACGGTACCTGAAAATAATAATAGACCTATCGTACACGCAAAATCTTATTTTAATTCACGTGTTAAATGAACATGCGTACAGCTGTGGCGGCTTCTTTGATGATTATCCAATCAACAATCTTAATCTCCTGACCACTAGCTGGCATTAAGGTGCTAATTAATTGATGAGATTAACAGTTAATCTCACCAAAGTTATAATATACACAACAGACTACACTGTAACCCAGGTATCGTTTAATCTTGTGCATCTAGCACTAATTTCTTTCACATTCGTTTAATATCAAATCTTTGTTTAAAAATTCGTAAAAATCGTTTAAAATCACCAAAAATCATCTAATTTGTACATGTGTCCAGTTTAAAGCTGACTGATTAATTTTGATAATGAATGTCCAATTTACAAGTATTTAATTTCCTGATCACTGTTCAAAAATTAATCATTATACATCATTAATCAATTGGGTTGTTTATTTTTTAACAATGATTGAGAAATTAAACACTTGTAAATTGGACACTCAT